CCTCTGGGGACGGGGGAAACCGCGGCGGCGAAGGAGGCGAAGGCGAAGGTGAAGGAAGGGGGGGATTCGCCGTGGGAGGGGTCCCTCCCTCTCCCCTTCCCCTGCCGTCTTCCGCGGCCGCGGCGGCGGCGCCGTTGATGGGGGATGGGGGGCGGGTGCGGGTGGCGACTTTGGTGGAGGATCCCCCCACCGTGGTGCCCGTCGGTAATGAGGAGCAGGCGACGGGGTTTCGTTTCTTCTTCATGGAATCGCAGCGCGTGCTTTTATGGGCGCTCATCGCCGGTCTCTTCTTCGGCCCGCTTGCGTTCTTCTTCCCGTTCGAACGTATCGAACGAGTGCCGGTGTTTTTTGGAATCATGCTGAATATTTTTATTTTTTCTTTTTTATAGTTGATTCCCGGGTTTGTCGTTCGAAATAGGCAGAGAGGGAAATGTTTACCCACCATTTTACAGCAATATTATATGTGTGGACGTTGGAAAGATTATTTTGTATTGTTATTGAAGCTTGCATACGAACCGCATGGCAGTATTCGAAAAAGTGAATTGTGTTTTTCCTGTTTTGATCTTTCACTGTCCATGTTTTTTTTCTTTTCTTAAACCAGAACTATTGGCTTTGCTCCATTTTTAAGATATCTCTGTTTTGAAGTGATAATACAAGTACCCTTGTTTCTCCTTCTCTAATAGTAATAATAAGGGATGGTTAAATATGTCGATAGTGGCTTCGACGATGCGCCTGGCGGCAAGAAGAAAATTAAGAAGGGGTTTAAATGTGACCGGCGAGAAAACTATCAGAAGATGATCGCAAGGAAACTAACGGGTAAAAATATTAAGAGCACGAACACGAACCACGCGTCTGCCCATGTTCGCAGCGTAACCTTCGACGAGTCCTCGCGTCGTGAATACCTGCTCACTTTGCACAAGAAAAAGAACGAACGTCGGGTGCAGGCATTCGTGGAATCGAAGTGGAAGCTGCGGCGCGAAAATGCGAAAACGCGCCAGCAGCAGCGCGAGGAAGCGCGTTTGGCTTACAACAGCTACGCGAAGGTCCCGATTTTGCCGAACTACACCTTCGGCTTAAATCAGCCTCAGGAGGATCGGGAAACGGATTCCGCGGCAGGCGAGGAGGAGGAGGAGGAGGAGGAGGGCGAGGATTCAACCGCGTCGAAACGGATGGCCGTGCGGGAGGAAAGCACGCATGCGATGCCGGCGGCGATGTATGAGGGTGGTGCGGCAGCCTCACCTGAGGTCTTTAAAGACGTCGCGACGGTGGAGGTGAAGCCGCTTTTTCCGCCGCCGCAAGGAGGGGGCGCCGCGGGTTCTTCGCGCCGCCCGGCACTCCCCTCGGCTGACTTTTCGGATCTTCCCACCGTCGTGGAGGAGGAGCTGCATCGATTGCGATGCGAAACGAAGGGGCCTAGCCGAACGAAGCCAAAGATCCACATGCTAAAGGAGTTAGAAAAGATTCGTAAGATCAAAAAGCATTCCCGAAAAGGTCATGGGAAGAAGACCGTTTCCGGGAAGCGAAAGAATCGGAAAAAGTAGTCTTTTCTTTAAGCGCATCATCCTTTAGAAAGAGATGCTATTGCGCCGTGGTGGACGTAAAACGGTTAAAGAATATCAGGGATGAATCTGCTTTATTGTTCCCAGTAGCCTATACGTATGCGTGTGTGTTCTTGCAACTTCGAGCTTCCTCGTTCGTTTTCCTTCTTATGCGCATGCATTTCCTCAAAATTTACCCTTTTTACGTCATATGGCACACTTTTATTAAGTAATTTTATAAGAGTACCAATACGAGGGCCCGCTCAGGAAGTATTTTTTTCTTTAATGGGATTCATAACTCAACACAGTTCAATGACAAACTGCAATCCACTTAGTGAAAGTTCTCTGGGGAACATTCAGACAACGAACCCTTCTTTTTCTGAGCCGACAAAAATTGCTGAGGTACCTTTCCAGGGTACCCTGTGGGATTCTTCATTACCACAAATTAAGAACGCTTCGAATATGTCTAAAAAAGCCTTGATGCGTCTTTGCCCTTTATGCATTTTGGGGACCACAACCTATTCCCTTCCCCGAATCATAGCTTTCTCCCTTTTGCTGCCCTTCCGATACCTATGGCTGCCTCTACATCGAGATGTACTACAAACATGAAGACCCCGGTGCGACGTGTTTCGATCACCAAATCCACTTTTATTCCTGATAATGATTCCGGAAAAAGATATCCTACGCATCTTGAATGTATCGTTTACAGCGATTTGGATTTATCAGACGAAATTCATCGAAATCCCCGCAACGGCAGATCCAGGAAGCAAACTCCGACCACGACTCTGCCTGGGATTATGAAAAATACGCATAAGCAATACACACAAAAGCCAATTATTTGCTCGGACGTATCGCTGAATGGATGTCTTAACCCAAAGGTCTGTCGCGGCTATACTTTTCCAACATTAAAAAGTTCCTATGTCCATGGACGCGAGGAGGAATCCATCAGAAGAAGTAGCTTTTCGTTTCAAAAGTCCTCATCTTCTTTTAACAGCTTTTCTCAAGAAGACAACGAGTATCGGAAAATCACTACAGGCAGAAGGTCCAGCACAATGATGGCTCCGGGGTCTGCGATAAGTTATAATATTGAGGCCCACCCGGATGTATCGTCGAGCAGGTTCGGACGTGGACTAAGCAGGATGGTCGATATGTCAACTTTATTCATAGCTTCTGAGAGATGTGAGGATGCCCCTGTGGCTCAACATCACAAGAATTGTACCAACTTTCAATTTTCAAATTGTTTAGAATGTAGTAGCTTGATTTCTGACAGCCATGACTTCAATAACAACTCTTTTATCAACGACTCTTTTGAAGATGATCTAATTGCTAAATAACGTGAAAATATAGCTTCCATTAAGTAAGTATTCTCTTTCCAAGTTGATGGGTCTGAGGTATGAGAGGACCATCTTGTACTTGAGGAGCAGTTTTGAAGTTTTAAGAGGCCTATTCACACGGAGAATTTCACCAGATGACGGATAGTTCACAGGTGTATGTTTATTAAAATACTTACTAACTTTTTCTGGACTGCGCTCTTTTTCATCATGACGATGAGCATAATCCCTCTGATTTGAATAATATTTTTAAATTCTCAATTCAAGCAGAATACGGTAAAAGGAAATGCTAACAGCGGAATCACATAAAACTATAGTTTTTTCCACACACTAATCAAACACCGATTTCAAGCATAATTTTTTCTTTCAGTGCTTTATATGTGAGAATTTAGCAATGGCTTCTATTACTGAAAGCACTTTGAATTCACTTGTGTTTTCGCTTTCCTGAGTTTAAAGGAGATAGGTTAGTTCAGAGATGAATTTGCCATCACACTTTTTTACGACTTCGTAACATAATAATGCACCTTCTCCTTACAGGTTCTACTTTAAGCAAGTACAAGTACGTCTTATCAACTTACATGAGACAGTCGACCTGAAAAGGAAACATCACAAGTTTTTAATGTACTTTTTTAAAAAATTAACTGATTTTGCTTGCCTTTATTGACTATTAATCATTAACTATGCGCTCTCAAAATAATGATATATTTTTGATAATATATTATATATATTCTTGTTTAACATGATGCAGGTAACCACAACCACCTGTAGGCATTGAACGTTATCTCGTCCACACACATGCGCATCATAAACGAGTTATATCAGTTGAATACGTATTTTAAAGCTTGTAAAAATTACAAAATAAGCTACAGTAATATTTAAAATTCACGTAAGCTTGTCAATATTGGCTTCTAAAAGTGAAATAATTTTTTATCGCGTCCTTTTCATTTTAGTAATTTTTTCATTATTTGAATAGAAAATAATTCTACCTTTTATTTATTCTTTCTCAACCGAATCTTCCCTTGCTACTTTTCTAAACTTTCTATATCAAGAGCATTCGATGGAATCAGGAAGTGCGTCTAGATATTTTCTACCTATTTCTCTTGTTCCACGTAATTTAGATTTCTGAAGGGGTGTTTAACCCTAGACTTTGATCAATATTTCTTGTACCAACACTCTATTATTACATCCATTATATGGCTATTTGTAAGTGTTCTTCGTCATGACGATGGAATTGCAATAACCTCACCTTTAAAAAATATATTTACTGTTGCAAATCGAAACTAAATTTGTGTTTGTTCGAAATGTATGTATATCATAATATTCCAGAAACCCGAAGAAAAGGTAATAAAAGAAAATTTAAGTCTGACGATATTTAATCTCAGATCATAGGAATCATTCCTAGCATATCTTTCACAGAACTTGATTAATTAATTTTGTAACGATGTACCGCCTTAGTGGCCCAACAGCGCTTTGGGAGGGGGTGGGAACTTCAAAACTAAAGGGGCTTCCTCGGAGTGGCATAGACTCCTCCTCGTACAGGAGGCCAATAACTTTCGCAAGCACCCTTCTATGGAACCTTGCCGAAAACTCAAGTTAAATTCAAGTGACAAAAAGGATATCTACTCTTTTTAATTTCATTAAAATTTGATTTTATGTATTTATTTTTATTAAAATAAAAACTACGTTTTACGTTTAGTCTTCTGTTGTCTCTATTGTTACTACTCTAGAGCTGTTATGTCTGTGGGGAAAACTCAGTTACATTTTCCATTTCTAAGTGTAAACTCTGAAAAAAATACCAAATATAAAAAGCAAAATACCTCTGAATGATAATTTCAATATGTTGATACATTTTGTGTTATCGTATTGGGCTTGGTTAAAATTAAACAATAATTTATGATTATGGCTTTAAAGAAAGCAAGCCCAAAGAAGTTGTTTTGATTCAATTACATCTTACCTATAGGCAGCTACAGTGTAAAGATACTCGCAAGATTTCCGGTTCGGACGTAAAAATAACTCAAGTTTCTTCAGATTCGAGGAAAGAGAAGGGCTAAACAAGGAAACGGGGTTCAGGTTTTATACTCTACGCTCCTTATTTAGCTTCTCTATAAAACCGATGGTCCTCGGTTTCCAAGCAAAAAGGAAAACGGCTCTTAGCAGTATTGAAGATTTGAATCCTTTTATAAACCGGAGAAACTTAACGATTTAGTCGTCATAGACGGCGACTAAGCTTAATGTCTACGAGGATCTTTTCCGAGTTTCTCAAAACAGTGCCCAATGGTGGTGTAAGGCTCATGGCGACGCGTCGATTCGTGAGTGTAAGCGGCCATAAGCCCAATGGGATGGCGGCACCACAAAGGCAAGAAATTCAATATGAAAGTCAGCCATTTTCAAACTCATCACCCACACCATCCTTGGGTGAACCTCCTTTGACCGCATCACACGTGTGCACATCGCTAGCAAAGGGGCATGCCATTCTGAGTGCGCTCTTTTACGAAAGGCTACATGAGATGCAGACGGCAAACCGAAACCTATCTCGACTCCAGAGCAATTCGGTCTTTTTGGAAATGATTGATTTCTTAGAGGAGTATGCGTTGGAAGGCCGTGAGACCGTGCATGTTCCGCAAAATATCTTCCTGATTGAGGATATGGCGATGTTTTTGAGCGAAACCCTTCGCCCCTCCCCCTCTGAGGCCGCCTCCCAGTCTCTCCATCATCCAGATGCCGGCAACCGGTTTATGCGCATGACCGAAGAGGCCATGCTCGACGAGTTTGCTGAGTGGGTGTGGAGTAGTTTACCCCCATCTAGCAAACCTTCCTTGCACGAAACCGCTTCCACAGGGGGTCTATCGAGTAGTGAAGGGTTGGTTTCGATGCCTTTTTTCGATCTCATGGGTCTCGTGCAGTCGTACGCGCGGTATCATCGAGGGGTGCTTTGGGGGGTCGCCCCACGTGCTTCCGAAAAGGATGTTAAAAAGTCCGATCGGGCGTCGTTTTACCGCCGGGCGTATCGACTTCACCCATGGCATGGCATCTCCTGCCCGGAAGGGCATGCCGAGCAGATGGCCTACGTGCATCTCCTGCGATGGATGCTGGAGGCCTCACCGGCGCCGGGGAAAGGGGGTTCCGCCGAGACGGTCCCCCCCCCCCCTCGCCGGGATCCGTTACAATCCCGGCAGCTTTGGCGCGATCATCGCGCCGTGGAAGGGTTTTGCCCGCCTCGTTGGATTTCTTCCTCGATCCGGGCGACAGGGGACTCGCCACGCGCGTTCGCCGCGCTGGATGTCTGCAGTCAAAGCGGCTTCGTCGTGGAGTTGCTGCTCAAAGCGGGGGCCTCGCGAATCGCCGCGGTGGACGCCCAGCCCGCCGCTCAGGGAAACACGGAAGCCACC